AGATAGATAGATAGATAGATAGATAGATAGATAGATAGATAGATAGATAGATAGAGAGATATAAAGAGATAGATAGATTGATAGATAGAGAGATATAAAGAGATAGAGAGACAGATAGCTAGAGAGAGAAAGAACGAAATAGAGATAGAGAGAGAGACAGAGAGAGGTATTATGTATACATATTTGTATATATAGGCCTACTTTATTTAATAACTATTTTTAAATCAGCAGTGTAAAACGTGCTTTGGATGATCTATGATATTTTTATTTTGCATTAAATGTTACTATGTTAATATACCTAAGTGTTCTATTCAAAGTTTTTGTCTAATACCACACTCCATGCAGCCTGATCTTTGAGTGTTGCCAATGTTTGAAAATGGCAATCCTTCTGCATAGATTGAAGAATGTTATTAACATGATCTACGGATTTTCAATCGCCTGAAATACTACTCTGCTGTTTCATTCAAGTGCAGTTCGAGCCTCTCTTAAGCTGATTGGAACAAACATAATTTTTTCGAGGCTTAACGACGCTCTTTTTGAAGGGATGCGATTGGTCAAATTCATGATCAGTTCAGGTTGTCGAGTCAGGTCGGATTGGGTAATGGCTCTATACTAGTACATACTGTTTAAGAGTCTGGCCTCTGTTTTGTTTAATTAAATTTGACGCAGAAGTCCATTAGAGTTAGAGTATGTCCTTCTGTATGCAAACATCTAAAGCAAACATCTGCTGCTTTTTCTTTCCTTATCCTTACTATCGTCATTTTTTCTTCTACTTCTTTTGTATGTTTGTCACACTCTTGTGACCCGCTATTTCTGGGTTGCCTTGATAGTCGAAGCAGACTTTGCGCTGTTGAAGCAAGAGAGGTGAGCAGAGTAAGTCTGATTCACTGTATGTAAGGACTTCTCTTTTGACATCCACCCCTTGGCGCTCATATGACCTTATGCAGTTGCGAGCGCCGTAAAGCCTCTACTAAAAGTAAACTAAAACATCTAGCGCTGCAATGCATGGCGTGGTAGCCTTCTGTTTGCCTTTGCATTAGCCTACAGCTATCATTTTAACTAACCACTTCCTGAGTCGTCTCGCCTTTCTCATTTGTTTTGACAAGAACTCCAGCCAGCCGGCGAAAGCGGCAAAGATGGTTAAGAAGAAGGGTGATGCTCAAATCGAGTTGTGAGAAATGCTGGACAATTACATGTATACACCGTTGCTTGCTGGGTAGTCATTTGTTCTGTTACGCGAGAATATAGTTGGCATAGATGTGGGGTGAAAGGGTACTTCATCAAAAGGCCTAATAGAGTCATTATAGGCCACTATACGACAAGAATTCGAGTTTCTCGTCTTTATTCAATAAGGCAAAGTGCACGACCCAATGTACTCTGGGGTAACGAGTTGGAGGAAAATGGGACCAATCACAAGATGCCCTCCCAACAAAGCAGCCCGAACCGATCACTGAACCAGCCAATGTCGTGCGACAGGTGAGCGCCTCTCGACTGGACTGAAAAGCTCACTGTTAATAATTCTATATGACCATTATATCCCCACCCCACCCCACCCCGAAAGTGTTTGTTTAAAATGTGAGATCTTTTAAGGAAGTGTTATTAGCAATCAGCAACGACAAAGTGATACGATTCATTGACTTTTTTTATCTTTATAAAAAAGGAGTCTGACTCTTTGGTTCTTGTCAAGGCAACTACAACGAGTTTTAATGTAACCAAAGGGTTAAAAAAATAAACGAGCAGAAAGCGAACAGTGCAGAACAACAACAACATTCTTAAGCTCAGGAACGTATTTAAAGACTCACAGAATGCCGACGATCTGGAGAAAAAGTGTGATTTAGTTCCGGGAACGCTATATTTTTTAACCCTTGCATCACATATCAGATACATAAATGTGCACGTACACATGTATCTCGGTTTTCCCGCCCTCAGCTAATGCACGCTCAAATCATAACGTTGCTGCTTGTGTAGTCTGTTAGAAGTTTAGAAGGTCACAGTGGCCTGCTGGTGATAACTTTGGGCAGCGTGGGTTTTGGTCTCAGGCCAAGTCGCATTTTCTTTCTATACCAAGGCACGCCCTTTGAAACCGTCTTTCAAGTGAGAAGCGTAATATTATGGGCTGTTGCAGCAAATACTGTCCATTCCACCTTCAGTCTACCATCTTCTATGACGGTTAGACTACATTTTAAAAAATATTTTAAAAAGTTTCTTCCCTATTCATGGCTACTGCTGAATAGGCTGTAACAATGTCATATCAAAATACGTGTATTTCATTATCTTTGATACGCATCGATCAGGTGCTGCTGAGATGAGGATGATGATGATGATGGTGATGATGATGATGGTGATGATGATAATGATGCTTATAACAACAGCAATGATAGAAAATAGCTATAATAATAGAAATAAGAATAAGGAATAAGAATGATAATGATAATAGCATCTGTAGAGCGCAAATTCCCATCCAACAAGGGAGCTCTATGCGCTTTACAGTCTACAGAGATGAGAAGCGGAGGCGGGAGATGCGGTATCAAAGTATCACTAAGACCAGGCCAAGGAGTGACATCATTTAGCAGTTGTTGATGTTTTACTCCCCCATCGACATAATTCATGTATTTAGAAAGCGGGCTGTTTCAACTCTGCCAGTCAGGGCCAAATTGCACTGAGAGGGATGCAGAGTCCCGGCAGACAGAGGGAAATGCTCGATAAAAAAAACTCCTTAGGCTGCAAACGCACTGGCTTCACATTCCCCACGTTTTCCACTCTCCGTTTTGGGGAGGGAAAGTTTGAGTTGATTACACAAACGGACTGACTTCACATTCTTTTCTCCCTCGTGATTAAAAAACAACAATAATGAAACTTTGTTTTCTACTTTCCACTCCAACTTCTTCAGCAATGTCTACCCACTTCTTGTTGTCATAATTTCTGTTAGAGTGATTGTCTTGTGATTTATCAAAAAGTGCAGGTCTCTTCTACACCGCTGCAATTAGTGCTTCTTCTATCTTGTCGGCTCAAGTTCTGAATCAAGTGTCTCAATATACTAGATCTATATAGGGCCTACAAAAAGAAAGAAGTTAACAACCCAAAAAGTCAAAACTTGTAGGTCGAGGTCAGCGAGTTTACAATTATCTTTTCATTGTCTATATTGCGAAAATGTGCCTAAAAGTTAAAATCTCGTGAGCTCCTACATGTAGGTAATTTTGATCGGAGAATCCAAATATGAAGTAAAAAATACAATTTAATGCTACTTTGATCAAAATGAATTTCAGCTTTCTACATCCTGACTGTGATATTTTTAGAATTTCCGCCCCTTGATGGCAGAATGACGATTTGCAGAGAGCAATTTTAC